GGAGGATAGTTCGTTTAGTTCATATCACTGATGATGCAGACATTTTTGGTTCGTTAGAAACAATTAATGTGTTTGCGTTTGAAAACGATATGCAAACAATCAAGCGAATGATACGAGGTAATAGCAATCATTTAGCACAGGTGATAAGACGTATAGGAGAAAAAGAACGTGTTAAAGAGAATGCAAAAATTATTGAGACAATCTCCAGACAATTTAAAATTTCCGACAAACCAAGAGATCGAGGCTTTATTTTACAAAACAATGATATTGTTGTAGTCATTTCTATTGAGGGACAAAAGATTCGTATACGTAAATTTAAGGGAAAGTCTGATTATTTTACAGATCCATGTAAATCGACAAAATTTATGATCTGTAAAGTAACAGATCTTTCATTCACTTCAAAGTTAATTAATGAATTTGACATAAAATATAAGGTAATGTTGTTTCCCATAGCATGTAGTAAAAAATCAAGTTACATTTGTGTTCCTTTATGTGAAGAATAGATTACTAATCATAATTGACATGTATATTTACACATAGTTTATATTGTTATGTATTATTTTGTTGTGAGTAAGCTTTGAAATAAAAATATTTGGATATAAATATTTGCAAAATGAACGTTCAATTAACAGTGCATCACCGAGAAACCTACGATATACCATCGTGCGATTAACGTTGACAGAAAGATAATATAAGGTGCCATGCACATAAATTTTACCGTGCATTAACGTTGATTCAAGGTGTAAGTAACGGTGAAGTCACTGTGCGATTACCATGAAATGCACGGTGCGTGGGACGTTGAAAACACTGACACGATCACCGTGATTCAACGCAGATGAATTAATGTTATTTCATCGTTAAACTTCTGGTTGGGTAATGACATCCACAGGCTTTATCTGGGACAGCCAGATGTTAGAGCACAAATGCCTCTGGGATACGGAGCATCCTGAGCGCCCCGAGCGGATAACTTCTGTCATTGCAAGGTATTCATTATGTTAACAAATGGTACTCATTTTCACATTAATACGTCAAGACCGGTTTCGGTTTGCAGATGTCAAGAACTAGGCCTCCTCAATCGCTGTAAAATCTTAGCACCTCGCAAAGCAACCGAAGCAGAAATTGCGGCAGTGCATTCGCCCGCGCAATTTGGGACGCTTGACAAAATCTGCTCTAGCAATAATAATAACATGGGCAAGTTTGAGCAACTGGAATTGGAAGCAGCCGCCTCAAAGTATGACTCAGTCTACTTCCATCCTTCCACTTGCGACTCCGCCCTGCTGGCCTCAGGCTCTGCTATCGAATTGACCCAAAATATTCTGGATGACAAAATTCGGAATGGGATGGCTAGCATTCGACCACCTGGTAATTAATTGAAAATTTGGAATTAAAACAGTATTGTGAATAATAATGACGAGTATAAATATTTGTAGGTCATCATGCAATGGAGTCAACATTCAGTGGCTACTGCTTTTTCAATAATGTCGCTATAGCTGCACGTCAAGCCTTGGCCAGTGGAAGAGCTAAGCGCATACTGATTGTTGACTGGGACGTGCATCACGGACAAGGCACACAACAATTGTTTTACGACGACCCAAGGTCCCTTAATTTAATCATGCCACAGCTACATAAACTAAATTCACGCAGTAGTTATAAAATGAGGAATCGAAAAAACTACAAAGAATCGAAAAATTGGGGTCCTACCACACCATATGTGAGAATAGAAAGGATGTTTTTTGTTAGGTAGCTCTTGTCAACATAAACAAGGGCAAAAATATCATATGCCTCAAACAGTTCTTAGCTTTGAAATGAGATTTGCAAAATGGGACGGTTAGGTGTATTGCGAGCACTCTTTGTACTTACCAGCAACAACTTAGAGTGTCCGGCTGACAAAATCTAGGAATTATTGAATATATGACAGTAAATCAGTTATCTTTTGAAAATAACTTCTCTCCAAATTACCCAAACCTGTAGTTTATTCCTAAAGGGATAATCGAAAGTTTGTCTTCTGGGGAAAATTTCTCTTGCATGGGAATGTCCCGATATAAAAATAAGTTTCCATTTTGAAGAACTTTATGCTTATTGAGACCAAATCTAGAACACTAAGAATTTGCCGAACTTATAAGAAAGCATTATGTTAAATGCTTAGGATCGTATTTTTCTAACATCTATGATTTTTTGTTGTTGATGTATGCATTTTAGGGTCTTCTACATTTCGACACACCGTTACGAGAATGGACTTTTTTGGCCCAATTTAAAAGAATCCAATTACAACTGGATCGGGGATGGGGAGGGAATTGGCTTCAACTGCAACATACCACTGAATAAAATTGGAATGGGAAACACTGAGTTCTGGCATCAAATCCTTTTGCCTTTGGCATTCCAATTTAATCCTGATTTGGTACTGATTTCTGCTGGATTCGACTCAGCTTTGAACGATCCAAAAGTGATTTAACTTTACTTAACAAAATTTAATATAGACAACAATTTAAAAAAGTTTCTCAACTAATGAAGGGCGAGATGCAGTTGACATCTCAATGTTACCCACACCTGTTGTCACCCTTAATGGGTTTGGCTAATGGAAGAGTTGCCGTTATTTTGGAGGGTGGATACTGCTTGAATGCCCTTGCCGAAGGAGCGGCCTTAACTCTAAGGACTCTGCTTGGGGACCCTTGCCCCTTGTTGGAGCCAATTGCAGATCCAATGCCAGAGTTTGTGCTTTGATTGATTAAAAAACAAATCCTGGATGCTATCTAATTAAGGAATGAATAAACTATAGATTGGTTGAGACACTTCTGAACTGCATGACGGTGCTACAAAGCCACTGGACCTTAGGGTTAGGACTCAAAGAATCGAAGCAAGGTGCGGACTTATGCGTCCACGTTCCAACGTTAAGGTATGACTACGTTCCTGTCCAGCTCGATAAATATCCCACACGGGATGGGAATCCTGTGACATCTTTCGAAGAGTGTTCCCCTCATGATGACCGATTGAACCAGCTGATTCTAACCACTAATCTAGCAGTGCCGAGTTCCAAATTGGGCATCGCATTTTCCGTTGCTGCTAATTACGATTCCAGCCCAAAATTCAAACAAAGCCTGTCTATTACTGGAGAAATTCAAATTGGTCTTGAACCAGAATTGAAATTCAGCCGACCTTCTGGGTTAATGGCAGCAATCGTTGGAGGACAATGCACATCCGGGATAGCAATCATGTCAAAAGTAGAAACTATTGAAGTGTGTAAATATGCGATGGACGTGCTAAAATTGGCGAGGTATAGATTTTGCATTGCTTTAGTTGCACAAAATAACATTCACTCAATAATACTTTCGGTGCTTTCACTCAAAGAAATGAATATCACTTCAAAATTGCGTTTTGTTTCCTGAATTATGGCTTTCTTGTGCTTATGATGACAAAAGGTTCCTATGCTAATCTACATTAACAATTATTTTCATTGCTTTTTCTGTAGGATACTATTCATAGACTGGAATGGGGAAAGCGATATTGCAAAAGGTACGCTGCTGAAGAACCCTAGAGTCCTGTATGTTTCCATGCGAGAGACGTCCTGTCAACTGACTTCGGGAATCAACTTCCGGTGGGTGGAAAATAATAATGATGACGTAAGTGACGCCAACTATTTGGCCGCTCTCGCAAGTGTCATTCTTCCCATCGCCTACGAATGGTGTCCTGACTTGATACTTGTTGCTGGCCCCGAAGAGGGTAGAGAGGGCGGATACGGTTTTTGTGCATTGCCTACATCTCCTGCGGGCTTTAGCAAATGGCAGAGTATTTTTGGCTTTGAATTCACTGAACAGTGTTTACTACCAACCCTGTGTCGAGCTGTTTTTGGGAAGGCCACCACCGAGTTTTTTCAACAACAATGCTAAACCAGCTGGACGGATTAGAGTACACCACGCAATATCTCAGGCGGTGGAAGTGTTGTCAGATAAGTGGTCAACTCTAGCCCCGTTTCGTAAACGTGTAGCCCACCATAGTAGCATTCCCGTTGGAAGATATTAAAAGCAGATTGGTTAACATATTTGATAAAAATTACTCAGTCACTGCATTCCATTAAAATAAATTATTAATATGTTATAAGTCAACGAGTCAAATACACTCGTTTAATTGCTCTTTATTGTTTCTTAATTATTGGCATAGACAGTTTAGCCGTTACACAGAAATTGACTTCAGTTAGGAACTAAAATCATCAAGTTTTATTTATGTTTACTCTAAATTTAATTACTGGCACTTCAAGTTATCTACCATCTAGTCATATTTCAAGTTATCTACTGTTATCTGAGAAAAATTCACATCTGGAAATGCTTAATAGGCAGCAAAAATTTATGCTTTTTATAAGAGCAAAAAATCATTTGCTAATTTAATTGGATAAATGTTGAGTAAAATTTTGCCAAATAAATTGTAGCAAAACTTATTAATAAATTATAGTAGAGTGAGACGGAAATATTTAGATTTTTGGGCGAAAATGCAATATATAATAAAATGATAGTTAGGCAATTAATTAAATTAATACTCGCCTAATTAAATCTCAATTACTAATCTGTGTAATATATGAACGATCTTGTAAGGATTGCTATTCCATGCAGAATTGTTGGCAATTTTGAGCCAAATTTCCCCAGAGAAAAGTAGATAAGTAAGACCTAGAAGACTCAACTCCATAAGGTTGCAAAAGCCACGTTGAGAGCCTAATTGACCAATAGGAATGGAGCATGAGGTTTTCTGTCCTTCTCCCAACTTTTCCTCTTAACCTATCATTTTTTTAGCTTATTAAATAATCACAAATATAAACTCGTTTCGATTTTAGCGTACAAACTGTACAATTTATTGCATTTTTGGCAGAAATCGAACTCCGAAAATTAAAAAAGAGATGTACAAAATAATATTTAATTACACGAATTTTATGATTGGCTGGCGATGAGTGGGAGTGGTCGAAAACCTCGTCCCCCTTTCCCATTGGTCAGTTTGGCTTGGTTCTATATGTGGCTCATGCGGTCTTATAACTCTACATCTTCTATATGAATGTATGTTCAATGGGGCTCCTCGAAGCGAGGTAGTCCAGCTACCTCACCTTTTTAAATAAACCCTCCAAACGAGTGTAAATAAGTAACGTCAGAGTGATTCAAGTTTCCTTTAACGTTTCTCCGTATATGACCTCGTCCTAACCGTCATGAGGTCAAAAATATTAACGTCCTTGAAATCGCAGTCAAATTTCTTTTAAAATGACACCCCATATGACAATTATGAATCCTTTGACCTCGTCCTCAAGGTCATCAGGTCAAAATTATTAACGTCTTCGTAGCGGTGGAATTTCGTTTAAAATGACACCCCATGTGAAAATCATGTGTTTTCTGACCTCTGACCTCGTCGTCAAGGTCATCAGGTCAAAAATATTGATGTTGAATTCGTGGCGAAATTTCCTAGGGTTGGTTCCATCCAATCCGATAATATCCGATCCGTCGGATCGGATCGGATATTTTTATCCGACCATTTGCTACAACATGGTCGGATAATATCCGATCCGATCCGACGGATCGGATTGGGTCGGATCGGATACATGTTATAGTAAGTGGTCGGATAATCTCGGATAATCGGATCGGATCGGATGACCAACCCTAAAATTTCCTTTAAAATGATATCCCATATGAAAATTAACGTGAATTTAATTTTGGACCACACCCTCTGGCACTGTGGGGGGTTGTCCGATTGACTTTTCCAACTCGACCGAGAACTAAAAATTAGAAACACAATGGCGAAAACGGGGTTTGATTATGTTGACTTGTTCTGAAGATATCCTGCTTACAGACGGACGGACGGACAAAACGACCACAATAAGTAGCTGAGGCTACTAATTAAAAATTTTAATTGTTGCGAGTGACGGCCATACCCAGCAACACCGGCGTTGCCGTTAGTGATTGAAGAATCCTGATGATAAAATGTTAAAATTCCTAAAATTGAATCAACTCCATGAGTTTTGAGATAAATGCAACTTTTGTTTATTGCAATGTAAAGCTAATTTTTGGTCATACAAACAAGTCGATTAAAAAAAAATATCCAATTTGTTTGCAATTTTTCATACATTTCCTCAAATGAATTCGCTAATTTTATCCAATCTTCAAGCCCTCGTCCAGCAAGCGGCCGATTCGACACGACCAGAAATCCAACATCGAGCGGTGACCGTGGTGCGCAAGTTACTCTCCTCGGATCGTAATCCACCCATTGATCCACTAATTAATTGTGGCATCCTTCCAATTTTGGTCAACTGTCTGGGCGGCACGAACTAGTAAGAGGCTTAACTGCTTAATATTGAATTCGCACAGTCATACACACATACCTGTTCAAAAAACCTTTTTTTCATTCAAAGTTCAGTCATCTCGATTTCAGACTGAAGATTTTCACTCATTTTCTTTCAAATTCATTTCATTTTACGTCATCGGTCTTCATTTCCTCGCCCCATGTATTAAGCATATGGTGAAAAATGAAATGAGTGAGAAATCCTTTCATTCACAGTCATTCATCTGAAATGACTAAATTTTTCAGTCATTTTCATTCAAATCGCGAGAAATTCTTTTTCATTCACTACCACTCACCATCATAATCACTCCAATGAATGAAAGTGAACAGGTATGGTTAATTTATCATTTTTATTTTTAGTTCCACCCTCCAATGCGAAGCAGCCTGGGCGCTCACGAATATCGCTGGTGGGACATCCCAGCAAACCCAGGCGGTCGTCGGGTGCGGCGCCGTGCCCCATTTCGTCGCCCTCTTGGCGTCCCCATTTCAAAACGTGCGTGAACAAGCGGTCTGGGCGTTGGGCAATATAATCGGGGAAGGCCCACAGTTATGCGACTACGTCATTTCCCTGGGTGTGGTGGCCCCCCTTCTCGCCTTCATCAAGCCCGAGACTCCCATCACTTTTCTCCGCAACGTGACCTGGGTCATTGCCAACCTCTGCAGGTAGGGTGACCATACATCCCGGTTTTCAAAGTCTGTCCCGAAAATGTCCCGGTTTTGATAAAGTGTCCCGGTTTTCAAAATCTGTCCCGAAAATGTCCCGGTTTTGATAAAGTGTCCCGGTTTTCAAAATCTGTCCCGAAAATGTTCCGGTTTTCAAAATCTGTCCTGAAAATGTCCCGGTTTTGATAAAGTGTCCCGGTTTTTAAAATCGTAGGAAAAATTAAGTTATCTCACTTTATCGCCAAAATATTGATGAAGGAGTAGATTTTAGCACATAAATACCAGTGACCTGACCAGTACCTGCATGAAATATATTCTTAATTCCCTTTTCTGGCTATTTCTAAAAAATCGGTGATATCTTAACCGCCAAGCACTAGATATTATAGAAAATTGTTTCGCCAAGCACTACATATTATGGAAAAAAATTTTGGCCAAAAAATGTCCCGGTTTTAATCTAATCAGGATAAATATGGTCCCCTATCCGCAGAAATAAAGATCCCACCCCGGGATGGCAAGGTTTGGCCGAAATCGTACCCAAGCTCAACTTCCTCGTCCACCACGCGGACACGAACATTCTCGTCGACACGGTTTGGGCCCTCAGTTACCTCACGGCTGGAGGGAACGACCAAATCCAGATGGTCATCGATTCTGGCGTCCTGCCCAAACTCGTCTCCCTCTTGTCCCATCGTGAAGTCAAGGTAGGGCTTTCTAATTAATTAGTCAATCTAATCAATTATCTAATTAGAAAGCATGTTTAAACTAATTATTAATTACTAATTAAACTTAACTAGTACTACCGAAGCTAATCTTAATTTCTAATTAATTATAAAATCACTAAAAATCACCAATTAATTGGTCAATGTTCTAATTAGTTAGCTAATTAATTGGCTTATTTAGCAACCCGAGCTTAATTACTAATTAATTAGATAAAATATTTTCCATCTATACTAATTAGTTAGAAATGTGACTAATTAAAAAGCTCTGAATTAAGGTGCAGGCGGCGGCCTTACGGGCGGTAGAAACATCGTCACCGGGACGGGCGAGCAGATCCAGGCCGTCCTCAATTGTGACGCACTCGGACATTTCGACACGTTGCTGAACCATCACGAGGACAAGATTTACAAGGAAGCCCTTTGGGTTTTGAGCAAAGTGACGGCGGGAAATTACATGCAAGCCGTCATCGACGCGGGGTTGATCACGACCATTATTGAGCACTTTGAATTTGTGGGTAGAAAAATTATTAACGTGCACGCAGGGTATGCTACCCCGGGTTTTTGGGGTTTTGTGGGTTTTAGTGGGTTTTTGGGTAGCAAATCTGAGCAATACCCACGGGTAGTTGGGGTTTTCAAATTTAATAAAGTATTATAACCGGGCATTACTAACATTTCTAAAGCTAATTAGTTATAAAAATTAAATTAAAGGCTTTGTTGAGAAATTACTGAAGAAGCAGAGTTTTTTCAAAACCTAATACATGAGACATAGACTCAGTCTACCCCTAAAAATCCCGACTACCCCCAAAACCCAGGTAAAACCCTTGGGTATGGGTTTTCAATACCAAAATTCCGGGGTTTTCCTTACCCTACGTTCACTTGTATGTAGCTTAAGGGTCCATTGTATGCACGTTTTGAGTTTGAATAGTTGCATCTCAACTTTCCCTTCGTCCATGCTTCAAATGGCGATTTTGAAACGTGTTCATCGCATTTTTTTACAATATGAAGATTTTAATGCACCTAAAAATCGGTAATTTTTAGGTTTACAAAGTTACAAAGGAGGAATATTATTTTTTTTCTTCAACGAGAAGATAAGTATAAAATAGTTGAAAAATAATCAGTAAAAATTAAATATTTCCTCCTTGAAGAAAAAAATCAAAATTCTTCCCTGCTAACTTTGTAAACCTAAAAATTGCCGATTTTTAGGTGCATTAAAATCTTCATATTGTAAAAAAATGAAGGGCGATGAACAGGTTTCAAAATCGCCATTTGAATACATGGAGGAAGGGAAAGTTGAGACACAACAATTCAAACTTAAAACGCGCATACAATGGACCCTTAAGCTAAAGAAATGTGATGAATAAAATTATTGAACTGAATTTTTTTGACTTGATTTTTTAGGGTGCATACCAAACTCAGACGGAAGCCGCGTGGGCCGTGTTGTCTAAGATGATGATAAGTGGGAATAAGGAACAAGTCTCGTATCTAATTTCGTGCGGTGTTATTCAACCAGTTTGTAACTTGCTGTCGTCCTATAAAGATTCACAGGTGGGTGCATACCTGTTCAAAAAAACTTTTTTCATTCAAACTTTAGTCGATTTCTGACAGAAGATTTTCATTCAGACTCAGTCATTTTCTTTCAAATTCATTTCATTTCACTTCATCCGACTTCATTTCTTACTTCACCCCATGTATTAATAGGGTGAAAAATCCCTTCATTCATAGTCATTCATCTGAAATGACGGAATCTTTCACTCATTTTCATTCAAATCTCAGGAAATTCATTCTCATTCACTATCATAATCAGTCAAATGAATGAAAGTGAACAGGCATGCTTGAAAAATCGGTCATTAATGAACTAATTATGAATTAATCAGGTCATCCAAGTCGTCCTGGAGGGGATTCACAACATGTTAAAGATGATTGGTGACGATCCAAGCGAAGAGGTTGAGTATGTCTGCGGCGAAATCAAAGTGTTCGGTGGACTCGATAAGATCGAGAGTTTTCAGAATCACGAAAATCTCGACATTCGCAAAATTGCGGGTGACATCATGAAAATCTATTATTCGGAAGATGTACGTATTTCAGATTAATTTCAAAATTTTATTTTGGGTAAAAATTTACTTATTTTACACGGGAAATTTTTATCTACAGATCGACCAAGATCCCAACCTCGTTCCGGGAGCGATGGTCGAAGGAACGCCTCCCAACTAGTGATCTCAACGGTTCTCGGTTCTCATAGAACCGAACCGGAACCGATGGCTCGGTTCGGTTCCGGTTTATACGGAGAACCGAACCGAACCGAAACTTTTATTACCGGTTCGGTTCCGGTTCCAAGTCTTAGAGAACCGAACCGAACCGGCCGGTTCGGTTCGGTTCTGACTACATACATAAATACATTAGCGAAGTTGATCATATTTCCGAAAAAGTTTTACGAATTTCCCGAAATACACCTAGTTTCCAAAATGAAATTTTGACGTGGCCGTACCTCCAAAGTTCCCAAAATGAAATTTTGACATGGCCACACCCCCCAAGTTACCCAAAACGAAATTTTGACCTGGTTACAGTTACATCCACAATGTTTGCAAAACCAAATTTGGACTTGATGACACCTCCAAAGTTTCCAAAATGAAATTTTCACCCCCAAAGTTTCCTAAACGAAATTTTTACCCCCAAAAGTTTCCGAAATGAAATTTTGACGTGACTGCACCCCAAACTTTCCAAAATGAAATTTTGACTTGGTTACACCCCCAATGTTTCCAAAATGAAATTTTTACTTGGTCACACCCCAAATGTTTCAAAAATGGAATTTTGACTTGGTTACACCCCCAATGTTTCCAAAATGAAATTTTTACTTGGTCACACCCCAAAGTTTCCAAAATGGAATTTTGACTTGGTTGCACCCCAAACTTGGAATTGTTTTCTAACTTCAATAATACATACATAAGTGGTTTTGCTGTTGACATGTGTTAGAATTTGCTTGTTTAAATACAGATAAGTTATTGGCTTGCATGTGAAATTTCATCAGAAACACGTGAATTAGCATTGTTTGTTGTTTATTGCATATTAATAACACTACCGGTTTGACCCGAACCGCCGGTTCGGTCACGGTTTGGTCCGGTTCCGGTTCGGTTCCAGCTAAAAAAAGTTCGGTTCTGTTTCGGTTCTTCAATTCTGGTTCTCGGTTCCAAACCGGTTCTTCCAAGAACCGAACCGAACCGAACCGTTGAGACCACTACTCCCAACAATGCGGCCGGTCCACAAGGAGGCTTCGATTTTTAATGAACTTAAATTGTATAACTAACTATTTACAACTAATCAAATATTACCTACATACCTGTTCAAAAAAAACTTTTTTTTCATTCAAAAGTCAGTCATCCCGATTTCTGAGTGAAGATTTTCATTCACACTCACTCATTTTCTTTCAAATTCATTTCATTTCACTTCATCTGACTTCATTTCTTATTTCGTCCCATGTACAGATTGTATTAAGGATAAGTGAAAAGTGAAATGATCGTGGACGTTTAATCTGTTTTGTGCTCAATTTTAAGCATTAGGATGAGAAAGGAGATCATTTATTTGGTGAGAGGAACCAATTAACTGTGTCTTTATTTAAAGGTGGATAAGTTAAAAGCATTATTTTCTAAAATGTAATTGTACTGTAATTAATTGTATAATTAAAACTATGTAGGTCGATCTATGTACATATGTACGTATTTTGCTGTGAAAGTATTTTGTCTATGAAAACGTGTATGATTCTGAGCCAAAATTTTGCACGTGCAGATTTTGATGCCCTTTGGCACATCCTGTTAGAATAGTAAAATCCCTCGCTGGGTCTTGATTACCAGTTGGTAATCGTTAACGATAAGGCAAACTTGATTAGAAACCAAACCCACATATTTTATTATGCAAACTTAACAAGTCTTTGTAACAAATATGTAAAAGTTAACCCAATAAGTTTAGATATGATGTAATCATAATATTGTTATTATAATGATGAAATTGATGGGGTGAGGAGATAGGTTTAGATGAAGAACATGGGATATCGTTTGGCCAGGTCGGGATGGATGGTCAACTTCCTGGCGAGGTCGTTCAGGTCCGCATTTTCCCTAAAAACAAGGAACAAATTTCATTAGGATTCAGCAATGTCAGAGATTTGCATACATGCCAACTTTGTAGATTTCATGGGAATAAAATTACTCCAGTTTTTGTAAACTGTTTTTAAGGTTGGCGTGAGTAAGCATTTAAACTGCTACTTTGTAAACTTTGTGGGAATAAAATTGCTCCAGTTTTTGTAAAGTGCATAAAACTGTTTTTAAAATTTACGAATTACTGAGGATAAAAATTGCTCTTTTTAAACTTTGTGGGAATACAATTACTCCAGTTTTTGTAAACTGTTCTTAAAATTTTGACATGATTACAAAGTTTGGCGTGACTAACAAGGGAACCTTAAGTATTGTCACCTCTCGATTTCCTTCCAAATAGTCTTAATCGACAGATAATTTAGTGAAACTAAAACTTTGTCATAGAACATGCGGTGCAAAATCACGTTTTCGCGAAATATTTGCGAGAGCTGCACCAAAACGTGTCATTTTCCCAATGCTTTTAATATAGCCACCAGCCTTCGAACGAACTTTATAGAATATTGATTAATTATAAACCTGTCCGTGTAATTTCAAGCCTGATCACGAGTATGCTATAAGCTGATGCAAATATTTGCCATTTGTTGCAAACTTTTTTGCAAAATTTCGCAATTTTAAATTTGGTTATTTTTTTAATTTTGCAAAATGTGTAAGTGATAAAATTTATTTTTCATGTTGCAAATATTTGCAATTTTTTTGCAACTTGCAAAAATGAATATGGGAAATAATTTTTAAAATTGCTTAAAATTTAAAAGGATTAGTTATTTTAAGTGTTTTCATGAAAAATTTGAACGATGTAAATTTAATGTAAATTTCAATTTTTGCAAATGTTTGTAAATTTTTCGAAATTAGTAAAATGAGTTTTTAAAAAACCTTGCAAAAAAGAGCAAATTTTGTGAGTATGACAAAATTTGAATTTGCGAAATTTTGCAAAAAAAAGTTTGCAAAAATTGGCAAACATGACATCAGTATTCGTGATCATCTTTGAAATTAAGCGCACAGGTATGTACGCACAGGTTGAACAATATTCTACATATAAACTTCATGAAAAAGCTGCTGGCTATATTAAAAGCATTGGGAAAATGCCAGGTTTTGGTGCAGCTCTCGCTAAATATTTCGCGAAAACGCGATTTTGCACCGCATGTTCTATGACAAAGTTTTAGTTTCACTAAATTATCTGTCGATTAAGGCTATTTGGAAGGAAATCGAGTGGTGACAGTACTTAAGGTTCCCTTGTAAGTATTCAAATTGCTCACCCTTCCTTCTCGATGAGATGGCGGGCCCGATAAGCAGCCAGATGGGCGTAGTACGTGGCCTACAAATGATTAAAATAAATATTTATAACTGGGCAATTATAAGATTACAGATAATCAAATTTAATTAAAAACCAACCGCTGGGTAGGACACGGGCTGCGTGCATCGAACGAATACGTAGCACAAGTAGTACGTAATCTTCTGCAAATCGCCCATCGTAAAGTTGTTGTCGTCATGAATGACGTGATACCGGGTGGGTTTTGAGGTTCCCTGCGCATCAAAAATAAATATTTATCAATCATCGAGACCATTTATGCGAAGGTTTCGTTTTGGACGTCCAAAACTACTTTTGGACTGGACATTGTCCAAAACTCTTCAAAATAGAAAATGGGACAAAATATTACAAGTTCTTTCTTAACGATTTTTTGCAAATCTATGTAATCTCCCATTAATTTTGAGCATGGGTGTGTTTATAATAATAGGAAATCTGGAAAAACTTTTGATTTAACGAGTTTTCTCATGAGGAATTAAGAAATTTTCTAAACGATACTGTATTACACACCAAAATTTTAAACATTAATAGCGAAGATTGGCAATCTTAGATTGCATAATTATACGTCAACGAATTATCATAATGAAGAACTTGCAACACTTTGTCCCCTTTGGACAATTCAGGACATTTGGACGGCCAAAACTGGTTAAAAGAGGGTTTGGACGGTAGGTTAAAAACAACAGCTAAACCCTGCTTATACCCGCATTTTTTGGATATTATAAAATGACCCGGACCTGAATGCCGACGTGGCTGTTGAGGAAAAATTCCCTCTCGGATGGATGGACAATCTTGGTGTCGACGACCGTTCCCGGTGGAATGTTCTTATACTGGAAGACAGAAAGTGATAATCATTACATCACAAATCTGGTGACAAATAAGCTCAAAATTTCTTACTTTTCCGACCCCTCGTTTCTCATTCATTGGCTGAAAACGCGTGTGGTGCCGCTTCTTTACCTGATAAATATAAAAAAAGTAGACTAATTAGTAGAAATTAAAGACTAATTAATTAATTACTCGATTACTCATCACCAAACTCAAAACATTCTAATCATTTCTCGGCTTTGGGAATTTATTTTAAAATTCTAGACGACAAATTTGCAGAGCAGGTCGTTCCCAATTTTTTCAAAAATATATGCTTCAGATTTTGACAATTTTTCAAGGAGGAGCTCCCAAGTTTAAGAAGCCTTCGGAAAATTGGAACTCGTCGAAACTAGCTTAAAAAACTGACCGCCATTCCATTAATCATCTTACTGACTACAAATTTTGTGTCCAGAATTTTAAAATAAATTCCCAGAGCAGAGAAATTAATAAAAATATACTGCTTGTTTTTTTACTATTTTAGTAAGTAATGCGTCATCGAGTATTATGTCAAACTTACAATCACGAAGGTGATTTTGATCTTTGGAATTCCTAACTTCTCCGTAATCGAGGCACACTTGTCTTTCATTTGCTCATATTCCTCTTCCTTAACCTGTCCCCCAAATTAACAATATTTTGATTAATTTACATATTTGAAATTCAAATTATTGAAAATTTCCCACCTTATTAAAGAATCCTTCCGACACGCCGTCTCGGAACATCAAGATTTTGGTGGGGTACACTTTGTTGGTTGCGAAAAATTTGCCCAACTGTCCGCCCAGAATTTCGTCCATGTTCTCGATGAGTTCTTGGCGACTCTCTTGCGGCTGGATGTGCATCGAGTAGCCCATGCAGGACATGTTGAATGATGCCGTAACAGCGGCAATGCTGGGGGCCTGCAAGTAATAAAATTAGTATGCACGGAAATCAGGGATGACCAAAATACTTTATCAAAATATATATAGTGTGTTTAGCCCCGTTCTTCCCTCTGGATTTTAGGGGCTGTTGCACCCACAAAAAGACAAAAATCTACGTGAAGAAGGCAACAGTTGTGCAAAAATACGGGTTTTGTGAAGAAATTACTTTTTATCGCTGTCAAAATGCATTGTTTGCACGATTCTTAAAAAAATAATGAATTTTGACAGCTATAAAACGTAAATTTCTTCACAAGCCCTATATTTTCGTGTGACTGTTGCCCTCTCCACGTAAATTCTCGTCTTTTTGTGGGTGTAACAGCCTCGGAAATCCAAACCCTGGGAAGAACGGAGCGTTTTGCCCACGTTTTAAAATTAGTACGAAAATCTAGCCATAATATCTAAATCTCACCATAGAATTTGGACTAGGATGAGTTACATCCGCTCCGAGGATCATAGTCTTCTCATTTCTGAAATGGAGCTCGTTCAATTCTTGGATTGAAAAATTCGTCCCGGAAAGTTTGGAATTCAACTTGAGAAGAAAATTCCCAATCTTTTGGTTGTTCGGGTCCCTCACGTTCTGTTGCCTGATGCAAGCCGTCAAAACGCCGTACTATACAAAAAAAGGTGAACTTTTTAACCAAAAATAACTATTTTGTAACATAGAAATCGACAACTCGTCCTCAAAATCGTAAAAATATGCATTTCTCCGCTCTGGGAATTTATTTTAAAATTCTGGACGACAAATTTGTAGTCAGTGAGGAAGGAGGATGAGTTTTTTGGGTCAGTTTCGACGAGTTCCAATTTTTCTGAAGGCTTCTTAACCTTGAGATCTCCTCTTTCAAAAAGGGTCAAAATCTGGAGTGTATATTGTTTAAAAATTGGCAACTCTCACCTCTTCACCTCGTCCAGAATTTTAAAATAAATTCCAAGAGGCGAGAAATGATTAAAAATGTGGCGATTTTGATTGACGATGAATCATCGAGTCCTACCCATACCTGTTTACTTTCATTCATGTGACTAATTTTGATAGAGAATGATGGTGAATGAAAATGAATTTCCTGTGATTTGAATGAAGGTGAGTGAAGCATTTCGTCATTTCAGATGAATGACTGTGAATGAAGGATTTTTCATTTCTTTAATTTTTCACCCAATGCCTAATACATTTGGCGAAGTAAGAAATGAAGTCAGATGAAGTGAAATGAAATGAATTTGAACGAAAATCAGTGAGTGTGAATGAAAATCTTCAGTCAGAAATCGAGATGACTGAATTTTGAATGAAAAGTTTTTTTTGAACAGGTAGGACTCCTACCTCAAACCAAAACAAATTGTACTCACCACAACTTCCGCTTCCGATTTAATGAAGGCGTAGTCCTTCCCATCTTGTGGTAAGACGACAATCACCAATTCGAAACCTTTGCCCTTGATTTTCTCGAAGGCCGTGCTTATCCGAAGCAACTTGTCGTTCCATCCTTCTCTATTCTCAGGGTGAAACTATTAGGGAAAATGATAAGTCAATTATCCGACTAAGAACTTCAAAGTATTTAAAATGAACATTTTGTTTCTTACATGTTCGTCCGTAACAAATTTTATGGCGGGCCTTATTTTTGGCGGCATTTTGATCCGTTTCATACCAAGGCTTTCCCCTAATTCGCCCAGTTTTGCGATAAAATTGCTGAAAAGTGAATACAAATTAATTACAGGAACAAATATAGCAAACTCGCAGAAATGTAGTGCATTATTTGCAACGAAGCTATGATATTTTATTACATTTGACCTCGTTTACACGGTCATGGGGTCATCGTACCTCGAAATTATGGGTGATTTCTGAAATCTCCACCCCAAATAACGTCTAAAACTGTGCACTAACATTTTTGGCCTTTGACCTCATCACCGTGACCTTTTATTCTACAAGGTCAGTTGACGAATAGCTTCTTACTTTTAAAATTAATTGTCAATATCCGAATACAGAATTAAAAAATGGATTCCTTCGAAACTTATCGTGCTGACGGACCGACAGACAAAACAATCGCAATAACTACGCATCAATTCGTTCCGCCCGCTAATAAATAATAAGATAAGCTGTATCCATTCATAGTCTTTGATTTCACGGTGATTATCCAATTTCATCTCGTAATGTATTTTTATAGACATTCCAAGACAGTATAACCACCGTCAAATCACGGAATATAGATGATTGCAGAAAAATTTGTGCTCAAAACTTACTCCGCAATTTCTTCATCCTTTAAAATTCCATCACAATCGAATATCATCCATTTTGGGAGGGTGGCAGCTTGTAGGAATTTCTTGGACACTTCATTGTTATCCTTGAAGTTCCACTTCCCCTCAAATTGGCTGACTTTGGCGTTTATTTGCTGCATAAAATAATTACGGCCCGTTACATTTACATATCTTGTTTTTTTAAGTTGGCAAATCAGTTAAATAAAAATAAATGGTTAGATATTTACAGCGCCTTTGGAGTCCAAGGTGCGCACAACGGGTGGCGCGATTACGGAAGCGTTATCGATCACGATGGGATTCGGTTCGATACGGATTCCAAATTCAGTCAGGACTGGGCACTTATCAAATCTGCTTCCTTGTCTCTGCAAAATTTCATAATTTGTCAACTTAAATATCAAATTTATATCAAGTTTAGTTCACGGCGGATATGTATTTACAAAAAATCAGTGAAATATGTATTTAATATTTATGAAACAACGTCAAAATTTTTGCGAAATGTGTACAAACTAAGAAGAAAATCGTTGAAATAAGAACTTGTATTTTTGGAAATAATGCTCTAGATTTTTTCTGGTCCAATTTCTTCCGAGCAAAAAAATTCGTCTGGCATCATTTAAATATTTGCAAAATACGTATTTTTTTCATGTATAAAAGATTTACGCATTTTTTTTAAAGAAATATTTATAAATATTTGTATCTTTGAAAACCGAAGCTTGTGACAATATTGAAAAAAATGGAAATTTTTGAAATCTATTCAAGTTAGATTAGAGAATACACCCACAAAGTTTTACCATCGGTCGTCATAAAAAAGGAAGAAGTTGGAAATAAATACATATCCGCTCTCTATCAATTACGCATTTCTTCTTACAGCCAGGTCAATCGCCTTGAATCGTTCCTTCGGCTCAATTGCTGCCCCCTTGATCATCGCGCTGGTCAGCTTGGGTTCCATTTTGCCTCGATAGGGCTGCGTAATAATGATGCACAGCTCGAGGGGGACATAATTTGTCATGTTTCGATTCCCAATGTGAACCACGGGCCAATCTGGGTGTCGAATCTTGGTCTTCTTAAACTTGTTCATATACTGGACGATGTTGATCGACTTGGTCACCCCCTTTTCATCCGTGATGCCGAACGTGTACTCAGCCGCGGACTGTTTGACGATGGCATTCGCGGTGAATTTGTGATACTTCTCGTGCTTACCGGTGGTTGAGTCGATTGGTCCAGTCCCGTACTTTATTAGTTTTCCTGGGACATAGGAAAAAAATGGTAAGATTGCGAAGGATGGTCAAAAATATAGAGTTTTGAGGTCTGTTTTTCCGAAGGTATGGATTTGCAGGATTGTTACACCCACAAAAAGGCGAGAATTTACGTGGAGAAGGCAAAATTCTTACGAAAATACAGGTTTTATGAAGAAATTAACTTTTTATCGTTGCCAAAATACATTATTTTTTTAAATACAGTATTTCGACAATGATTAAATGTTAATTTCTCCACAAAACCTGTATTTTCCTATGACTGTTACATTCTCCATGCAGATTCTCGTCTTTTTGTGGGTGTAACAGCTCCGGAAATCCAATCCCTGGGAAGAACGGAGCTCAAAACACTATATTTTTGACGCGCTTTAAGATTATATTGTGTATGTTGTCCAAATGCAAATTTTGTATAGATAAATCCACCAATTATTTACCCTTCACTGCTTCGGAAGCCTTGTTGATATCCGGATCCTCCCAGTACTCGATGTCCAAAGAATCATCCAGGGCCCACTTGCAAGCATTACGGACATACTCGTGGAGCGGCTTTTCCGTGTAGAATGCCTTCGTAGCCACTACAAATAAGAGAGGAAATTTATACAAATAATGCCACCCGTTAACGTGGGAGTCGATGGCTTATCATTAAAATCAGCACATTTTTAATCACTTATCGCCTTTGGGAATTTATTTTAAAATTCTGGACGACAAATTTATGGAGCAGGTGGTTGCTAATTTTTAAAAAAATATACACTCCAGATTTTGATACTTTTTGAAGATTTCAAGTTTAAGAAGCCTTAAGAAAAATTGGAACCCGTCGAAACTGCCCCAAAAACTCAACGCCATTCCATTAATCAATTCACTGACTACAAATTACTCGTCCAGAATTTTAAAATAAATTCCCAGAGCAGAGAAATGATTAAAAACATGATGCTTTTGATGACGAGTCGTAGTTAATTAATTAATTAAGCCTTACAATCAATATTGAGCGTGGCGGTTTCCTCCGACCCGAGACAGAGGGACTGATAGTGCCCGTGAAGCAACTCGAGCATCTTGTCCAAAGGTTGTCGGTGGGTGGGGTTTTGATTGAAGAAGCTTCGATTGCAGGAAATGTAGCGCAATGAGGGGGCGTGACGAAGAGCCACGTCGAGACCTTGGACGACGTCCTGTGGCTGAACGACAGGCTCCCCCATTTCCCTCCCGGATCGAAGAAACTCGATAAACGAGCTGGTCAAGACCTGGCCGACCACTGTGAAATTAAGGACAAGAAGAAATTAGTGTCAGTTTAGTTTTAAATTGTAAAAAAGAAGTACAAATTGGTACAAAAATTTGGTAAAAATTGAGCTGGTCATCATGCCATCACTGTGATATTAACGATAATTAATTAGAAACTAGTGTCAATTTAGGATCAAATTGTAACAAATAAGCTTATAATTTGGTTAAAAAATTTGGTGAACAGTTTGGTAAAATTTGAGCTGATGATGTCATCACATGGAAATTAAGGACAAGAGGAAATAAGAAATCAGTTTTAGTTTAGTTTCAAATTTTAAAAAAGAAGAGAAATCGGTACACAAATTTGATAAACATTATGGTAAAAATTGAGCTGGTCATCAATGATGAGTCATCATTGATGACTCATGATTTGGAAATAAATTGTTCAGCGGTACGAATGAGATTGCAAATTTGATGGAAAAATCAATAATTCTTCTATAAAAATAACAATACGTTGGACCAAACAATAAACAATTTAGGATCTCAATGTTTAATTAATTTGTACTTTTGGAATTCTTAATTTGTCCTTACTTTTCATCTCGACCTTGAACCTCCTCCTCTTATCGGGATCATCAGGGTCTTCCATCTCCATTGTGACGGAGTACGCATCCCCATTTGGAAAGTTGAGCCGTCCTGAATGTAAAAAAATAATGCAAATTGTGTCATAATTTGTAAACCAATTTGTAATTAATTAATCTCTATAAATAATTAACATATAAACAAACCTGCCGTATAAACATTCTTTTTCCCGTCGAAGGGGACCGTAAATTTCAACGCGGCCTTATTCTGCCTCTCGAATTCTTTCCAAATCAGGGGCAAAATCCGGGCTGGAAGTTCCGTCATTTCGCGACCCTCTTTCTCCGCGACCTTGGCCCGAGCCTCCTTCCGCTTTTTGGCAGCATCGGCAGCCGCAGCGTTTCGAGGGGTCGTGTCGACATTGGTTATGACCACGTCGTAATGGTAGATAACGTCGGGGAAGGTCTTGGTCCGGGTGACCTTGAAGGAAGGAATGAGATAGATAAGCAGGAGATTATAAAAAATACTTTGAAAATTGAAAATACAGGATTTTAGGCTTCATAGTTTGGATTCCGGGGGCTGTTACACCCACAAAAAGACGAAAATCTACGTGGAGAAGGCAACAATCATGCGAAAAAACAGGTTTTGTGAAGAAATTAACTTTTTACAGTTGGAAAAATACATTGTTTTCACGATTTTCTAAAAAAAATGCAATGTTTTAATCACGATAAATAGTTAATTTCTTCGATCACTGCATTTTTCTTTTAGAAAATTGTGGAAACGATGTATTTTTTCAGCGAGAAAAAGGTTAATTTCTTCACAAAACCAGCATTTTCGTATGACTGCTGCCTTCTTCACGTAGATTTTCGTCTTTTTGTGGGTGTAACAGCCCTGAAAATGCAAACCCTGGCAAGAACAGAGATCAAAATACTGTACATTTTTGATAATTGCTGTAGATAAGGTCGATTCAAGGTCAAGAAGATACAAATTTAATGAAAAAAACAACTTACCGGATAGTGGTTCACCTTGAGCGAGATTTTCAACCCCTTCAAGGGCATCTCATTTTTCACCCGCAGGGGACGTGGGGACGTGACGATTCGGTCTGCCATTGCTTCAATGAAGGAAAGTTTTTAGCTTTTTTGTGCAACTGTTTTGAAAAATTGATGAAGAGTGAAGAGAGGAACGAACAAACTGAATTGATTCGACCGACTGCAACTTCAAATCGACTTTGTCAAAATTTATTATGGAAACTTTAGGGTTGGCAAGCCTACAAAATTTTGAGAAATTGAGGACACTTGAAAACTTTGATGTTTGCAAGTGGAGATGGAAAGCTGGTTTGATTTGGCTTCATCATCGTGCCGATTTTGTGGGGCATTCGTATGCAAATCTTGGACATTCAGTCTCAAAACTTCTGAGACAGGGTTCCGTTTTGGATGTCAAAAATTATTTTGGACGATAGTGACTAGTCAAAATCCAGTCATTTACGTACAAAAATGTCCAAAAGCGTCCAACATGGTAAATGTGGCGAAATGTCACAAGTTCTTAATTAATTGAGCATCTTGCTCTGTCTGAAATATCACGAAATTTGCAAAAACTTAAATTTAAAATGAAATTTAACAAAATTTCTAAACCATGCCGTATTTCAGACTAATATGGTCAAAATTAATAGGAAATTACAAATATATAAATACGTCAACGGATTATGGAAAGATCCAGTAATGAAGAACTGGTCACATTTTGCCACATTTTCCATTTTTGCCACTTGTGAACATTTTGCACATCCAAAATTGGTTAAAACCGGTGTGGGACGATGGTTATAACATCAAAGCGAAACCCTGGAGGTGCGAATCTGACTTGGAATTTTTGAGATAACGCGAACCAATATTGATATCTACATCCTTTACTTTACATTCGGGGAGACGAGATTCTGAGATTCTTCTTTTCACTCCTTGCTTAATCTTAATCACGAAGAATTTATCATTTTATATCATTTCATGCAAATCCAAACCCTATCGAGTGGAATGAAATGAAATGAAACTAAGTCGCATTTTCTCTGGAATTTTGCTAGTTTGGTTTGAACGAGAATGAATAAATCCTTTTATTTTATACAATTTATTTACCAAATATGTTTGCATTTTGGAGACAATGTCAATTTTGTGACGGAATTTATACATTTCTGAATAAAATGTATGTATATGGAATTTAACGTGTATCATGTATAAAATTGTGTACATTTATGACCAGATTTGATGGAAAAGTGTGAAAAATGATTAGACAAGAACTACATATTTTACAACTCAACTGAAATTATGAGATTACATATTTTATTGGGATTCAAGTCATCATAATTGTATGTCCTTATTTAATAAGAGGAATGATGATAAGTCAGTATTATCGGGTTCTAGACAATTTTTCATTAATTATGTAACAGGTCCCAACATAAATTTTATGACTGATTTGATATATTTCTGAATAAAACATGTGTGCAATTTAACTTCAATTGCATGTATGTTTTATGTGAATCATTATTATTACTTACGTATAAAATTTTGTACATTAAATTAGTTTGTAACAAGTGTGAAAAATGATACGTCAAGAGCTACAAATTATGCCATTAATCAACGGAAATTACGAGATATTTTATTGGGATTCAAGTCATCATAATTTTATTTAATATAAGATAAGTCGTTGATAAGTCATTAATCCACCAGAGCAAAAATATGGGTACTAATGGATGATTCGTTTCTCGATCTAGAATGGTACGATTTTCAGCTTTTATAATGTGTTTTTTGTCACAATACCACTTTTCTCACAATTTTATTATCCTCATCTCCGCAGAATCTGGAGTCCAGACTATCGGACAATGGAGGTCTCCCAGCGTATGCTCTCCGATTTTGAGCAAATTAGTGTCAATCGGTCACAAATTTAATTAGGATGAAATTTGCGAAAGACACGATCTCCCAATGGGCACGTTTGGCACAGATATTTGCATTCGAAGAGGAGAAAAGGGGCAGTAAATTTGGAAAGTGTAAAATTTGTCGACTTTACGGCACGTATTCTCCTCTTGGGATGCAAATATCTCTGCCAAACATGCCCATTGGGAGATCGCGTCTTTCGCAAATTTCATCATAATTAAATTTGCCATCGATTGACACTGGTTTACTCAAAATCGGAGAGCATACACTGGGAGACCTGCAGTATGTTGTAATCGAGGAGACAAAAAATCATCCCTATATTTTATTCCATTGAATGAATCATTATTACTTTATTGTGGGGCCAGTAAGGTCGGAAATTCAGAATAGGGTCAGATAAAAAATTTTGCAGATTGATTCTCATTATTTTTTCGTCATCATGCATGATCTTCTTAAAACGCTTGATTGTCGGGTTAATGGATACTTTGACATATTTATTATGTATGTGGAATTGTGGACAATGCGGATTACGAATGAATCATACCTGTTCAAAAAAACTTTTTTCATTCAAAGTTCAGTCATCCCGATTTCTGACTGAAGACTTTCATTCACACTCATTCATTTTCTTTCAAATTCATTTCATGTCACTTCATCTGACTTCATTTCTTAAATCGCCCCATGTACTAAGCATAGGGTGAAAAATGAAATGAGTGAGAAATCTTTTCATTCACAGTCATTCATCTGAAATGACTGAATCTTTCACTCATTTTCATTCAAATCACAGGAAATTCATTTTCATTCACTATCATTCTCCATCATTATCAGTCTAATGAATGAAAATGAACAGGTATGTGAATGATGAATTGACCTCGATTCAATCAAACGGATGTAGTTTTGATAGCATTTAGGGAGCGTCCATAAATCACGTGATCGATTAGAGGGGGGGAGGGGGTCTGAAATTTGTCACCAATTATCACGAGGGGGGGGGTAGGTGGTCAGATGTCACGTGACATGTGTAAAGTTTTGTATATGCCGTATATGCCAATAAATGTCGTGAGAGTTATATATAAATTCTCTTGGCATACCTCACACACGTTATATAGATTAGATTTTCATTTTGCATATTTGGAAACTTGCTTTGACTTAAAATTCTTATATCTGACGGGCGTATTAAATAGTTATTTGCACATGTGTATAGCTCTAATTTGATTAATGATTAAAAAACACTGGAATAATATTGTTATTCCGGACAACATTATTTAATTTGAGCATCATCTGTCACGTGACTGGTGGGGGGGGGTAGCGAAATTATCACCAACGGTCACCAAGGGGGGGGGAGGGGGTCAAAATTGTCCAAAAATCGATCACGTGATTTATGGACGCTCCCTTATTGGTATATTGTTGTCTTAATCGGTATCGAAGGATTCAATGGGGCTGATTTTGCAGAGATTATACATACATATGAAAAAAAAAACATGAGAGAAAAAAGGCGTAATAAATCACTCAAAATTTTTAAAAGATATATTTTTTTTTCATTACTGATAAGTAGTGACAAATGGGTCATCAAAATATAATTTTATGCTATATACAACATGTATTTCACTATGAATGATTTTTTTATTTATGATCTATGAGCTTTATTATTTTTGATTTAGAAGACTTGTTTGTGATCTGTGAACTTTATTTATACACTAAATTGGTGTAGAAAGTTATAATGGCATCAAAGTTAAACATATGGATAAAATTAACCGCAAAAATTTGCCAATTTGTTTCACTATCACTTCCATATGAGTACGTTTCCAAAATGAGGGGGAATATTGTGCGAAAAAAAGTACACTAATTTACTTAGCATGAAAATTTTACACGTTGCAAAAAAGACAAGTGGCAAAAAATAATTTGCAAAAAGAGAGGTGGCCTGTGCAACTGGAGTGATGTGGTTCATATTACCTGCGATTTGCAGGTAAATTTGCGAAGATTTGACTGTTTTTCGCAGAAATGCATGGATCAAAACGTTTCTTCAAAGTGAGTGACATAATGCTTCATATGTGCAAAATGTCATGTAATAAATAAATATAGTTTTTTTTTATTTAGTTTGTCATATTTTTGCAATTGAAATCTATAAATTTTACCTTATCATTGATAAGTTATAATTGGATTTAGAAATATGGAATAGATTAAACAGTCTATTTTGTTTAAAAATTATTTTTTCGGGTTGATTAGTCATCACGCCGTGTAATTTGTTACGAGTTTTCGATAATGGCAATATAATCTTCTAGGTTTTGAATTTGGTGTATTTTTAATAAAATAAGTAAAAAGCTTTTTTTTAATGATAACCAAACTACAAATTTTGGAAATTTTTATACGAACAAAAATCATGACTACTGTATGTATTTAGCTACTTTTTTATGTATGTTATCTTGAATGAGTTAATTAATTATATTTTTGGCATGGCAGAATTTCAGATACATAAAAGAAACGTTTCTGCAAAATGACGTAATTCTTCATATTTGCAAAATGGTTATATAGAATTTTTCCTTTACTTAATGAATTTTTTTGCAATTTGCAATTTAAAACTGAAATCTGTAAATTTTACCATCAATATAATTGGATTTAAATATTATGAAATTGATTAAACCCCATCTTTTCAGTTTGGTAATTATTTATTTTTTGATTTGACTAATCCTCACGCCGTTGAAGTTTTCAGTAGTTTTTGGTAATTGCAATGTAATACTTCAGGTTTGGGAAGTCTTCCTTATAAATTTTTTTGTCAAGTAGAAATTTTTTAAATGCAAATTTTGGAAACTTTTATACAAATGAGAAATAAAGCATTTATCTAATGTATATTATCTTGAATGAGTTACTTGATTATATTTTTGGCAGGGCAGAATTTCAGATACATAAAAGAAACGTTTCCGCAAAATGACGTAATTCTTCATTTTTGCAAAATGAGTGTGCATTTTTCTTTAATTTTGTATATTTCGAAAATTTAATGCTTCATAATTTTTTACAATTTAAAATTGAAAATTGAAATGTGTAAATTTTACCATCAATACAATTGGATTTAAAATTATGGAATTGATTAAACACAATCTTTTTGATTTGGTAATTATTTATTTTTTGTTTTGATTAATTCCCACGTCGTTTAATTTTTCATGAGTTTTCGGTAATTGCGATATAATTTTTCAGGTTTGGGATAAGTGGTACCGTAATTTTTTTAAATAATAAAAAATTCTAATTTTGGAAACTTTTATACAAAAAAGGAGAAAATAATAGTTATTATTTTATTTATTGTCTTGATCGAGTTAATTAATTATAATTTTCTCAGGGCAGAATTACAGATACATAAATAAACGTTTCTGCAAAATAATGCAATTTTTCATATTTGCAAAATGAGTGTGTATTTTTTCCTTTACTTTAACATATTTTGACAA